ACAGCAGCTTTTAAGAAATTTGCAGCACAGCCATTTTTCACTAAAATGGCTCTAACTCCATCATACGAACTCGGAATTAGACGATTTTTGTTCCTATGAGTCTCAAATAATAATACAAACACAACCCTTCAATCAAAACTCAATTCAGATCTCGTTTGCCCAGTTCAACACCCATTTCGCTCGTTAAACAATTAACTCACATTTCACGTCAAAAACCCAATCGCGACTTGATGAAATTAAACCAAAATTTCCAGATCAGTCCTATAATTCATGATTTAAATTCTGGAAGTCTCGAAATCTAATTTGGACCTGTAGAACTAAAAATGAACCTTTAGATCATTACATTTATGCTCAAAACGGCAAAAATCTTCCAAAAATGACCCGTTGGGCATCCGAAACACACCCGAGTCCCCCGGGACCCCGACCAATAATACCAACCAGTCCCAAAATACGTTACGGACTTGCTCGAGGCCTCAAATCACATCAAACAACGCTAAAATCATGAATCAACCTCCAATCCAAGTTTTATGAACTTTAGAATTTCCAACTTCTATTTCCTATGCCGAAACCTATAAATCACGTCCGATTGACTTCAAATTTTGCACACAAGTCCAAAATGACATAACGAAGCTATTGAAATTCTCGGAATTCCATTCCGACCGTCGGACCAAAATTTCACCTATCAACCGGAAATTGCCAAAATACTAACTTCGCCAAAATGAGCTAATTTCTTCACCGGACCTCCAAAATTAATTCCGATTGCGCTCCTAGGCCTTAAATCATCCCTCGAAACTAACTGAATCATCTGAATTCAATTCCAAGCTCTCTAACTCACAAGCCAACGTCCGGTTGACTTTTCCAAACTAATTATTCCTTAAAGAGACTAATTGTCCCATTTCATACCAAACTCGATCCGAATTGACTCAAATTCACCAAGTACACATATTGAAACATGAATAAGCATTTAACGGGGAATACGGGACGAAAATACAAGAAACGAGGGTTTGGGTCGTTACACGTGCACCATGTGAATTGTGACTCCATTATTTTTGTGATACTGTGTAGTTACCTGATCTTATCTGTAGCCATGAAATCTCTACGTACTAGGCTATTAAGTTGTGATCCATGTTTGAAACCATGTCTAGGCTACATGCTTATTTTGTTGGGGCCTACTGAGGTTATTTCAGCTGTTGAGGTATTTGCTTACTTACATAACCAGTCGTACGCATTCATATGCATATCATATCTCAGTCTCTGTTACCATTTATCGATACATCACATCATTATTTTAGGCTGATTTTTATGACGTTGTGAGCCCAAGATACTGGAGAGATTGATGACTGAGCGAGGTCGAGGACCTGATTGTGAGGATATTGATGGGATCGGGTTGCACGTCGCAACAAGTATTATTGATTTATGATAGAAGCGGGTCGCACGTCGCAGCAGATGTTATTGATTCACGCCATGATTGTCTTATTATAGTGCTTGGGATGAAGGAGACCCTTCAGAGTCTGTATACACCCCTAGTGAGCGCATGTACCTACTGAGTGTGAATGTGAGTACCGAGAGCGAGTGCCGAGTGACTGTGAGGACCGAGTAACTGGGAGGACTGAGTAACTGAGAGGACTGAGTGACTGGAGGACTGAGTGAATTGATATTCTGAGAGTATGCATATGGTTTTATCACTGAGTTGTATCGCATTCGACATGCACACTTGACATACAGGCATAGAGATGCATTTTCCTCATGCTGTATGGTATCATGTCATTCATGACTTATCATAAACATTGACATGTAGGCATAGAGATGTATTTTCCTCATGTCATTTCATAATGAAATATCTTATCTATTTTTGAAAAGTTTTGAGAAAAATCACAGTTTTACAAACCTACTCATATTTTGGTGATTTCGGTAAAAGAATTGGGTTTTCACTGATATACTTGAAAAGCATGCCTATTTTTTCGGAACTGTGAACAAGTTGAGCATCTTATATATGAGTATGTTTCTTGTACCATTATTATCATTTTGTTATGAATTGTTGTTGGCTATTGGTGTTGGACTCTGACCTTTGTTCTAACTCGCCACTACTTTCAATCTAAGGTTACGTTTGTTACTTATTGAGTACATGGGGTCGGTTGTACTCATATTATACTTTTGCACCATACGTGCAAATTTGGATGTTGACATTGTTGTGCATGACGGGAGCTAGTATTGAAGTTGTACCTGCGTTCCGGTCATAGTTGCCTCTTGTTCATGGTAGTTCTAGACTTATGAAAAATCTATTTATGTATTATTCGGACAGATGATGTATTTATTTTACACTAGCTTTGTAAATTCTAAATCTTAGAAGCTCATGATTTGTACTACCGGTCCTTTAAAAATTCTTGTATAAAAGTAATTGTATTATCATTTATTTTCTTGATAAATCTCATTAATTTGGATAGTTGTTAATTGGCTTACCTAGCGGGTTGAGTTAGGTGCCATCACGACTAGTTGGATTTTGAATCGTGATAGTTAGGTGCCGTCGCGGCTCCGGTGTGAATTGGATCGTGACATTTTGCCTTCAAAAAACACCGTAGCTTACTTGTAGTACAGCTAGTCATGCAACAGAATTTGTTCTCGATTTTATTGTTGGACATAGGGAATTATGGTCTGCTCAGTTATTGTCATCCATAATCAGAATGATAATTCTCGCATTGATCTCTTATGATCTTAAGAAAGCTTTCGTATTTGCTCGTTATGTAAATTAAACTTTTGCTCCATGTCTATAATGTAAAATTTTAAATTCTTATACCGTAGACGAGTGTAGATTGCAAACGAATAGACCCAAAGGAGGTGTTCATTGGGAACCCAACGAGCGCTAATAAATTAGATCTAATAAAAGTATTTTCCTATTGATTTTAGACAGCTTTGTCTGCAAGGAAATAACTTTTAATGGGTTAAAATCACACATGGATATCTGTTAGTTTTGAAGGGCATGATTGAGTCAAAATCTTAACAGGGACTTTTTTGAAATCAAAATCAAATGGAGGGTTTAATTAGTCTACTTTTAATAGTTGAAGGACAGTTTTGATCATTTTTCCAAAATTTAATAGTCTATGAGAGCTTTGTATGTGGGTCGATCGTATCTATATCTATATATAATTATAATTGAGGGCCCTAATACAGGTTACGTGGCACTCCCATCTAGCACAACTCAACTTTTCTTTTTCTGTGATTTTTTACGATTTTCTCTTATTTTCCACCATCAAAAACCAAAAGCCACCGTATACGAAAAATATATAACGCTTCAAAAACAACGGTTTCTTTTCCAACACATTCTTTACTTTCTCTGCTCCCCTTCTTTCTCTGTATTCATCCTTTTTATCTTTCTATTTTCCTATTATCCTCTTTGCTTCACCTTTATTGATTTACTTTAATTCCTTAGTTAATCTCTAAATTCTTTTCTCACCATCGTTTCCAATTGCTTTTTCCAGTTACTTTCGCTTTGATTGTTCATTCTGCTCCGTCTTTCACTTACTCCTTGCCAGCGCAGAACAAGTGGATAACAATTGCTTATTTTGACGCCCATGAAGTGTTCGAAAATATGCCCCATAGTTGACCTTGCCCACGGATTCAAGATATGCTGCAAATTTACTCAACACTTGCCGGTCTGTAATCCTTTCAAAGTTAATCTTTACCAACTATACTTTCTTTGCATATCTTTTTAGCATTTTAAATCAAAGACCATTGAAGTTTGACAATTCAGTTGAGAACATCATTTATTTTTCTTTTTAGGTTGATAGATGGTAGTGCAAACTAACAAAAGGCCGTCAAAAGATTCAATTTTACCTTCTCCATTCGTATTTGAGGTGCGCCCCAAAGATTCTTAACTGTTATGCTTTTTGCACAATTGATAACCATGAGTATAAAGATATAATATACATAACTTTTTAAAATTTGATAATTAAGGGCGTGTCTGATATGGAGTACAAGAATTTTGCTTTACTGATAAAGATTTATCATATGCGTATATGATTTATTGATGGGTGAAGAAAATTAAGGAGGAAGAAAACTAACTACCCTGCAATCCATATCCATGCAAATACCAAATTGGAAAACAAAAACTAAAGGAAAAACAAATGAAGATTAAGACTCACCAACGGTCGTTGCAGCGATGAAGAGTGAGCGAAGGTAGTTAAAATACTAAATCAATATCACAGAAATAGTGCTAGAGATAAGAGAGAAAAAGAAAAACACAAAATCCAGAGAAGAAGATACTCATAAAAATGCACATATGAGGCGACATAGGCAGAGTTAAGTGCAATCAATCATTATTAATGGTTAGGGAAGATTTTTTAATTTAATAGTGATGTCTGATGACCATTCAACTTAATTTTTATGTCCATAAATATTGATTATAGTTTACGCATATGGAGTTTAGACTATATTAGATTTTCATTGTAATCTCAGATATTAGTACTGGATAGATCCTGTTACTTTTTATTTTTATTTTATTATATAGAATTCTTGCTATATTAATATTATTATACTGTTATCCTCTGCTGGAAAACCCCAAAAGCCTCATTATTTTGACTGTTTCTTGGTGATGTTTAAATGGATCTTCCGCTCATCCATTCTTCTTCTTAAAGTCTGAATGTGTTATGTTGAATCTGTCATTTTGTTGACAGGTTGGATTGTCCTCTCGCCTGACTAGGTACCTGGCACGTGATGTTGCAGCTCTTTAAGATACTACTATTCAGGTAGTCATTGCTTTGGCTTAAGATTTTGTTTCAGTCACAAATATGTTTAATATTTTGTTAGGTAATTTAGCAAATATTAGTTCTTCCTTTTCCCTGGCTGAGTTTCCTTTCACTGTATTTTTGACTTGTAGGAAGCTTATTTAGGTGGTAATAACCTTCAATTTTCAGATTATGTCTATTATTTTATGAAAAACGTGCAAAGGTTGCATTTTTTCTTGTGTCTTATATAGCGGTTCTATATAAATTAAAAGTTACAATACTCTTTCTAATGGAATAATGAAAATATACTTACTTTGTATATTGTGTATAATTTTAAACCAGAAGGACACCGGACATTTACATCACTTTATTGGGGAATGAGGCCGGTAATGTGCTTAGATGTATGGTTCTCCTTTATAATTGAGTACCACCAATATAACACAACACAAATTATTTAATTGCCACGAGGTTAGTGTATTAGTCTTCTCGAGTTATCCTTCTGTTCTAGCATTTTATTCTGTAATGATAATTGCAGTCATTTGAGATTATGAAAGTAGAGCTTTCACAAAATTATCATGAATGCTTATGAGAAACATATGATCTTCCTCCCTTGAGTTTTGGTTATTGAATATGAATTTTTTGTATATACGGAAAGTAAGTAATGTTCACATTATCTTTGCATGTGTATGGAACTTAATTAAAATTTGTCAATAATTTATATATAAATGTAAAGCTAAAAAATTAAAATCTAATGGGGAACCTCCCCATGCTCACGGATGTACTATTTATCTCTCTTCTTTTTTGTTTTGGAATTTCCCCGTCTACATGATTCTTAAATAAACCCACAAGGAAAAACACATCACTTTTGAATTGCTTTACAACTTCTCATTTTTTTAAATATTTATTCAGTCGGGTGATTTATACACAGTTTATTTGCCTTGGTGCAGTTTATTCAGTAGAGCAGAGATGAGCAACTTCGTCAACATTGAATTTCTCTTTGGATCAGTTTGTGTTTCCTCAACTCTCAGTATATTTTTGTTTCCACATTATTACCTCCAGTTTATAGTTATAAAAAAGTAAATTGTCCAATTAAGTTTTCAAATAAACTATAGTAAATATTTATCCCGAAATGCGAATTTGGTTCGTTAGGTTCCTTACTTCTTTGGCGAGAACCAAAATAAATATGTTAAGAATTTTGTTAAGATATGTTTTCCCTATAATTATAAAGATTTTAGCTTTCTGATTTGTCTTTAACTATTACAACTATTTGTGAGGTCATCACTTGTGTTGCAATGAAATTCTACGTTCTGAGGCCTTAAAACCTCCTTTAGCATTACCTCAATTTGCATGCACAGTCCGGGCGCGTAGCCGGAAAGCTTAAATATGAAAATCTGTGAAAAATGATAAGTTTTGACTATAAAACGAATAAATTCGACTTCGGTCAACGTTTTGGGTAAACGGACCCGGACCCCTGATTTGACGGTCCCGGAGGGTAGGAAAATATGCGGCTTGGGCGTATGCCCGGAATCGGATTCCGAGGTCCCAAGCCCGAGAAATGAAATTTTTTAAAGAAAATTATTTTCTGAAATTGTTTAAAGAAGTTTGAAATGAAATTTTCTTAGAACATGATGATATCGGGCCCGTATTTTGGTTTCGGCGCCCGGTACAGGTCTTATATATGATTTAAGACGTTTCTGTGGAATTTGGTGAAAAACGGATGTCATTTGACGTAATTCGGACTTAAATTGCAAAATTGATGTTAAAAGAAGTTTTGAGAAATTTCATTGATCTCGAGGTTTAATTTGATGTTCATGATGTTATTTTGATGATTTGATTATACGAATAAGTTCGTAGGATGGTTTTGAGGTTTTGTGTGCACTTGGTTCCGAGGGCTCGGGTGAGTTTTGGGTAGGTTTCGGGATGTCTTAGACTTAAAACCATAAGTTGCAGGCCTCTGAACCTGCCAGTGCGGTCCGCGGTCGGCCTTGTGCGGTGCGCGGTGTAGGGCTGTGCAGCCGCAGTCGACTTTGTGCGGTCCGCACAGGGGCGCTGTTGTGCGGTCGCAGTCGACTTTATGCGGTCCGCACAGGGGCGCTGTTGTGCGGTCGCAGTCGACTTTGTGCAGTCCGCACAGGGCACTGGACCGCAGTACCCTCAGGAAGGCCTGTGCGGCCGCAGTCGACTTTGTGCGGTCCGCCCAGGGGGTCTGAGAGGGGTATAAATAGACGGGATTTTCAGTCATTGTGCATTTTTCAAAACCCAAAAACATAAGAGGGCGATTTTTCAAACAACTTTTCTTCTCCAAATCAATTGTAAGTCATTTTTTAACTAGTTTTCTTCAATCATTAATATCTTTTAATATGATTTCAACTTCAAATCAATGATTTTCATGGGGGAAATTGAGTGTTTTGGGTAGAACCTAGGTTTTTCAAAAATTAGGGATTTGGGCCTCGAGTTGAGGTCTGATTTCAAAATATATTACATATTTGAGCTAGTGGGGGAATGGGTAATCGGGTTTTGGTTCGAACCTCGGGTTTTGACCACGTGGGCCCGGGGCAATTTTGACTTTTTGGGTAAAACTTTGGAAAACTCATTTTTCATGCATTCAAATTGATTTATTTAGTGTTTATTAATGTAATTAAGTAACTTGTGGCTAGATACGAGCGAATTGGTGGAGGAATCAAGGGGTAAAGCTATAATTGAAACTTGAGTTGTGTTCGAGGCATCGAGGTAAGTGTTTGGTCTAACCTTATCTTGAGGGATTAGGAGTTGTGTCTTATTTGCTACATGTTAATTGTGGAGTACGATGTATAGGCATGGTGACGAGTATCTATACGTTGGTGTCAAGCATGCCCGTGAGTCTTGTATTATAGTTGTTATGATTCCGTTGTGATTTATTGTGCTTCATATGTTATTATCACCATTGTTCCCTTGTCGGGATGTTTGTTTGATATTAATGATCCCTTGCCGGGATATTTGTTTTGATAGTATTGTTCCCTTGCCGGGATGTTGTTGAAATATCATTGTTCCCTTGCCGGAAAGTTGTTATGTTACTTTTGTTCCCTTGTCGGGATTCCTTGTGATTATTATTGGCTTGTAATTGGGAGCGGGTGGTATGCCTACCACAAGATATGATGAAATGGGAGCGGGTGGTACGCCTACCACAAGATATGATGAAATGGGAGCAGGTGGTTCGCCTACCACAAGATATAATGAAATGGGAGCGGGTGGTACGCCTACCACGAGATACAATGAAATGGGAGCGGGTGGCACGCCTGCCACTAGATACAAGAATCAGGATCGGGTTGCACGCCTGCAACAAGATGTGAAAAGAAAGTGAAATATGTCTTTGTTTTTCCTCATTCTTGTTAGTGGTTGATTATGATTCCTTTATAATTCTCTTGATATTCTGTTTTACCTGTTATTCCCGAAGCATATTTCCCCCTCCTATCTTTATTTGTTTATTTTTGTATTCCTTTTCCGATGTATATATATATAATTGCACAGGTTTATCTGGAGTCTGGTCCTAGCCTCGTTACTACCTCGCCGGGATTAGGCCAGACACTTACCATCACATGGGGTCGGTTGTGCTGATGCTACACTCTGCACTTATGTGCAGATACCGGAGCAGCACTGGGTCAGCAGCAGTAGCTTGAGAGCCGGCCTTCAATCCATCGAGATTCCGAGGTAGTCTTGCAGGCGTTCGCAGGCCCGGTGTCTCTTCTATCAGTTATTTTGTTCTGTTATCATTGTATCCGAGATAGACAGTGTTCCTTCTTTCAAACGTTTGTATGTAGTAATCATAGATAGTCTGTGAAAGTTGTGACACCAGTTTCTGGGTAGAGGCATATGTTGATTTCCGAATTATTTTGATTTATTTTGTTTAAGTCTTCCGCTTAATCTCATATTCCGTTATTATTTAAATGTTTATCACCTGTTAAAGCAAGTTGTTAAAAGGATTAAAACAAAGAATAAAGAATTTTCTAAATTTCGTGGCTTGCCTAACTTTTACGAGTAGGCGCCATCACGACTCCCGAGGGTGGGAAATCTGGGTCGTGACACTATTACATATATTACCTTTAAAATTTGACTCGGATAGCTGGATTAATTCATTAGTTTATAAACATATTTAACCTTCATATTTGACCGTAACGATAAGCCATATTGCAACCACTAAAACTATTTCTAATTTGTTTAATCAAATTTCATATTGTCAAATGTTCATATTGATTTCCTCTTTTTAGGTTTTACAAATCACTCTTTACGATCACGTTTTGCTTCTCTCAGTCAGCAGTGGCGAGCAACACTAATCTCCCCATTTTGTGCTTTCTGATTTCAACTTCTTTTTAATTTTTATGATTGTTGCTTATCAGTTTTGGTTGCACTTATTTGTATAAAGTGATTAAGTTGTCGCTTTGAGGAAAGCTCTTCTTAACCTCAAAGGGTGTATCTTAACACTGGATTGGTAGACTTCAAAATCGTAAGATGGCATCACTTAACAATTATGTGAAGTTCATAGCAGGAGGTTTGGAAAATAAGATGTGCGCTAAATAAGATATGAAGGGACTATATATTGGGGAGCTTATACAAACGTGTGTGGGCTTTCTGTTAAGCATGGACATGATTTTCTCAATCTACATGTGACGACCCAAAAGGTCATCACTTGTTTTAAAATGAAATTTTCGTGTTTTGAGGCCTTGAAAACCTCATTTAGAATTACTTCGATTTGCGTGCGCAGTCCGGGCGCATAGCAGAAAGGCTTAAATATGATAATCTGTGAAAAATAATAAGTTTTGATTATAAAATGAGCTAATTTGACTTCCGTCAATGTTTTGGGTAAACGGACCCGAACCCGTGATTTGACTATCCAGGAGGGTCCGTAGGAAAATATGGGACTTGGGCGTATGCCCGGAATCGAATTTCCAGGTCCCAAGTCCGAGAAATAAATTTTTAAAGGAAATTGTTTTCAGGAATTGTTTAAAGAAATTTGAAATGAAATTTGATTAGAACATGATGGTATCGGGCCTGTATTTTGGTTTCGGCACCCGGTACAAGTCTTATATATGATTTAAGACATTTCTGTGGAATTTGGTGAAAAACGGATGTCATGTGACATGATTCGGACTTAAATCGCAAAATTTATGTTTAAAGAAGTTTTGAGAAAATTTCATTGATCTCGAAACTTAATTTGATGCTCGTGATGTTATTTTGATGATTTGATTACACGAGTAGGTCCATATGATGTTTTTGAGTTAGTATGCACACTTGGTTTGGAGTTCCGAGGGCTCGGGTGAGTTTCGGGATGTTTTAGACTTAAAATTAGAAGTTGCAGGTCTCTGAACCTGCCAGTGCGGTCCGCACAAAAACGTGTGCGACTGTGGAAGAGGGCCAGTGTGGTCCGTGGTCGGTTTCGAGCGGTGCGCGGTGGAGGCCTGTGTGGCCGCAGTCCATTTCATGCGGTCCACACAGAGCACTGGACCGCAGTACCTCAATAAGGCCTGTGCAGCCGCAGTCCATTTTGTGCGGTCCGCACAGAGGGTCTGAGACGGGTATAAATAGATGAGATTTTCAGTTATTTTGCATTTTTCAAAAACCCCAAAAATATAAGAAGCGATTTTTCAAACAATCTTTCTTCTCCAAATCAATTGTAAGTCGTTTTTAACTAGTTTTCTTCAATCTCTAACATCTTTTAACATGATTTCAACTTCAAATCAATTATTTTCATGGGGGAATTGGGTGTTTTGGGTAGAACCTAGGTTTTTCAAAAATTGGGGATTTGGACCTCGATTTGAGGTTCGATTTCAAAACAAATTCCATAATTGAGCTTGTGGGGGAATGGGTAATCGGGTTTTGGTTCGAACCTCGGGTTTTGACCACATGGGCCCGGGGGCGATTTTGACTTTTTGGGTAAAACTTTGGAAAACTCATTTTCACGTATTCAAATTGATTCATTTCGCGTTTATTGATGTAATTAAGTAAATTGTGACTAGATACGAGCGAATTTGTGGTGGAATCGAGGGGTAAAGCTATAATTGAAACTTGAGTTGTGTTCGAGGCATCGAGGTAAGTGTTTGGTCTAGCCTTAGCTTGAGGGATTAGGAGTTGAGTCTTATTTGCTACGTGATAATTGTTGAGTACGACGTATAGGCATGGTGACGAGTATCTATACGTTGGTGTCTAGCATGACCGTGAGTCTTTAAATTTTGAAGATCTTGATTTCGTTGTATCTTTCACGCCTTGGTGATGATTTCTAATTGTTGTGGAAATTTTGTGGAAGGAATTGTAACCTTTGAACATCGAGGAGCATTGGCTCAAGTTATATTATG